AAATAACTCCCTCTCTGCCTCTCAGGAGGCATCCTCTCTCAAGGATGGGTCAGAACCAGCAATCACACTCTTCCTGCAAATACATGTGATGATCTACGAGTGCATGTTGTCCCACCTTAACCAATGGGAAGCTCAAGGTGAACTTGTATCTAATGGAGTTGCAAGTTAATGCATAGCTGCCTTAGGGCAGCCCATCAGCTGAAGTTGACTCAGTCATTAATAGTTTAGAAACCACAACCAAGCAAGTAAAGATTAAATGAGCATAAGAACAAAGAACAGAAAAATGAGCCATTGAAAGCAGGACTTTCTGAAGTTCATGGGCCACTGGTTTGACACATTTTCCATCTTGGGCCCCAGATGACTGGGTAAGATTGTGTATGTTCAAAACCATGAGGGTCACACATTCATTCAAAACTGAGTAGAAAAAATGAAATCAGATTATTTCACTGATGCCTCTGACTAATGAGACTCCACGTATTTGCAAGGGGAATATTTTAATCTTCCATCAAAAAAAAAAAAAATAGATCTCTCATGGCACGTCTGATAATTTAGAGTCTTAGGTTTTTGAATTATGCTGCTGTATGTAGCTGAAAATTGTTTGATAAGCATCACTAAGTGGTCTGGCTTTAAACCAAGCCTGTCATCTAGTGGAGTGCTATGCTATTCCAACTTTAATCTAGATAACTGGCACACATAAAATAAGGAAACACAAATGTGACACAGCTGCAGCTAGTCTGGTGGAGCTAAAATGCTTAGCAGTGTTTTATGCCTGTAATATAAGACTGCTTACTAATGGGAGAATCCTATATGCAAGAGAGTGACAATCAGATTGCCTTTGATATAACTGGTTATAAAAATGTTGGAGATTTAGTATTTATGGTGCCTGCAGGTTACAGTAAAATGCTTCTTGTGTTCTGACTTTAGCAGACATTAAAACCACTGTATAACTATGGCCAAACTTCACAAGTTACTGCCCAACACACGTGGAGCAAGTGAGGTTTACAGCAGAGAATGGGTTAATGATCAACAGTTTACACAAAGGCTTGTGACATAACATAGACATTAGAGTGGTTTGTTGTGCAATCCATGTGCCCTTTCTGAATAATGTATCTGAATGTGCCAGCAAAACACAGTATAAGTATTAAGTTTATTAAATGAGAGTCAGTGTAGTAAATTAAATAAATAGTGTGTGATTCAAGTGCTTTTGTCAATAGTGCATTGATTATAATGCCACATACTGTACTAAAAATCTAATAAATACAGAATGTCAGCTGGATAACTAGAGCATAAGTACGTTAAGTTCTGACACTTGAGGCAAATACAAACAACCTTATTTGTGCTCTAGGAGTAAAGGATTTTCCCCTCAGGAAAAAAATATACACTGTCACTTACCCTACATTTCAAAACAGGAAACAGGTGCTCAGAAAAGAAACAGAGAGATCTGCTCCTTTAATTATGAACTAAGAGACTAATACAGGGAAAAATAAATTCTAGTAGTATAAGAGAAGATGAACAGACATGTAAACCAGAAATTATTTGTTCAGTCAAGACATATTATACACCTCAACCTGTTACTTACTGGGACATATGATACACTCTGTGTCTCGAAAAGTATCTCTGCAAAGGTGTATCATGCAGTTGGGATTAGACTGCATGGGAAGTGCTGAAGTAGCTGCCTAGTTTAGTGTGGCATGTCACTGGGATGCTAACAGACAGTGGCTTTGGCTCCTTGCTTTGCACTAAACTTGATATTGTACACAGTTGAGTAAATACTTGTGCACAGACTTGCTTTCTTGGGACAGCAGCACCCTATTGTCTCTGAAATACTTGTAGAGGTTATCTGAGACTAAGAGCCTAACCTGGAGGCTGATGTAACCTCTCCAGTTCACACCAGACTGCACAGAAAAACTCAGGCTGGGTAGATCTCGTGCCACCAGCAGATGAGAAAGATTTTTCCCTGCCTGTGCAAATCAAAACTGCATAATATACTCAAAATACTAATAGCTGGCACAGAGCTGTGAGCTAATGAAGACAACAAGGCAAAAATACTGAGGGTGGATGCTGACAATGACAGATTTCAGTGCTATATATCAACTAACCAACTTGTTCTTGAAAAGATTGTAACTTTACAGAGAAATTCTCCATGATGTTTTCTTTTAGCTGCTATGCAGTGTCACCAGATATAGTAAAAGCTGGCATGTTTTGTTTTTCTCTTGGGCCTCTAAGATAACCCTCATAAAAACTCGTATATTTTCAAACTATGTCAGGATTTTAGGGCTCAATTGGTAATCATTTGTGACTAATCTGATTTAGGAAAGGATGGCATGCAATTTGGCTGATGATTGGCTTGCAGTTTGTGACTGCTAAGTCTCTACGAAGATGGCATTCTCATTTTTATGACCTGATCACCCAAAAAAAGTCCAAGAAGCTGTGGGCCCAATTATTCATAAGAGCCTGATCCAGAAAATGAAGCATTTGAGAAAGTGTGAAATTTTAAGGATTTGAATAGTTCTACCAACTTCAGTCTACTCATATGTTATGCTGGATCAGTCTCAGACTAGAGCGAGATATCTGTGAGAATGCAACTGCCAAGTATCCTGCATCCACCCCTCCAGTTGAGCTGTGCAGTGGTTTCTGTTGCACCTGAGTGTAACGAGGTGATCATCTGTTTGGAAGCTTGAGTGCTAATGTAGAAGAGTGACATTTTGTCTTAATTAGATATATGTAGTGAATGTTTGTTGGATGTTTCTAAAGGTAAAGCGTTCTTTGTCTATGGTATGTATGTTCACCCACAAAAGATGTGTTCCTTACATCTAGAATAAGAAACAGTGCAGAGTTTGATGAAAGTGTCTCTTTGCACACAGACATGAATGTATTTTATGTTTAAGCTAAGTACATATTGTAGAACACAGACCAAAACTGATTACTTGCAAGGATGGGTAACAGTATGTGGCTAAAGTTTAGGCAAGCATGTAATTGTGTAATGAAATCACTTAAATGCATTGGGAAATCCATTTTCCTTTCACCCTTGGAAAAACCGATCCACACAGGAAGAACTGGCATTTTTTAGTGAGGTTTTAACTCCTGTTTCCCCAGCCTTCTTGCATACCCTCCCGCCCTTTCTCCTGGGTCTACAGCTTTTACATGTCTCTCCACGACTCTCTTCCTTTTGTCTGCCTCCTCAATGGCTCCAGAGTCCTAAAGAAATGTTCGGCTTTGAAGATTGGCCTAAAAAAATGGTAATTTTCCAGACAAAGGCCAGGTGTTACTTCCGATTCATTCAGTATCCATCCCCATTATCCTGCGGGTCAGCTCCTGCCGAGCACGCTCCATGGGTGTCCTGACTGCGTAAGGCCTGTGAGATTTGCCCCGTGTGACTGAACTGCAGATGGCACTTTCATATCTCTTATTTTAGCAACAGTCAATTTGCTAAACTTTCTTAATAGCAAGCTACAAGGTGATTTCTGTGTCACAGCCTCACAGCTTTCTCACGCCAAACAGAGGAGGAAACATAGCATCCACCGTGACAGAACGGGGTCAGACATGAAAGCTCCAGCCCCATGGACAGGGAGCCCATTGGCACAGCTCCCACCTGCCCAGGCACTGTGCTGAGGTAGGCTGTGCCACTACAGGGGGCATGGATTTTGTCACATTGTGCCTTTCCCTAGTCCCTTTGGAGAGAGAGAATATCGGTTCCTCTCAGAAGAACTGCAGTAGGAGGAGACGTGGGCCAGGCTTTGCAGAGTAGACTTCCCCAGGCACACTGCTTGCCTATCAGGGCTGCACAGCTTCTGATCAGAGTGAGAACAAAGAGCCCTACAACTGCTTGCACAGGCGTTGAGTCACTTGCCAGGATTCCCTACTTCTGGAGGCACGATCATCTGTGTGGATACATCTTCCTAGCAAGGTCAGCCATTTCAAGCAAACAGTGAGTTTGGATCATTGTTTGCTCTCAGGACAGATTATTTTTTCTGTATCTCCCCAATCAGGTTTAGATAAAAAGGGAAAACAACCCACCCTTTGTCAATACACTGTATCCAAACCAAACTAACACATTTGGTTTCTGCAAGAAAACAAAGTCATTTCAGTTTCTAAATAAACCACTTTTTGAGTCATCTCTCTGGAATTTTGCTTTCCTTTCCTGCATTGTAACGGCTCCTCTTGGAGACAATATTCATCTTAGACAAGTAACACAGTCTGCAGCTTCTTATCTCCAGTTAAATCCAAATTACTTTTAAAGAAATTCTGAATGCTTCTCAAGTTCCCAGAAGTTAGAAGCTTAGATGTCATTCCAAACCTTCTTTATGAATTCTCAGTGCCCCAGATTCAGCCGTTCATTTTTATCTGTATGGTGATAATTAGGCATTGATCCCCCCTACACCGTACTGCCAGAAAACCTTGTATCAGCTTCAGTGACGGTTAGATCAGGCCCAGGGTACTTTACAGAAATATCTTGGCCAAATCAAATGTCTTATTACACAGTGGATGAACTTAAAATACTATGTGTTTATGTGACCAATAGAATATTTGATTTTAACAGTTTCATACTTCTTCCCTGAAATTTCTAGAATAGGGTAAAAATTGTGCATTAGTAATTTCTTAATTTTGAATTAGTTGATTTATTACTGCCTTTATATATTTTTATTTTGTGCTTTTGTGAAACATGTATATGCTGACACAAGGCTGAGTAAAAAAATAAGGAAAAAGAGAAAAAAGATCTTAAACCAAGATTGTGACGTCAGAAATAAATAACTTACTGCATTAGAAAGAGAAAACGAGAAACCAAGTTCCTCTGAAAGGCATCCTAAACCAGCCATGTTATGGGGAGGATCAAGGCAAGGTAACAAAGGTGTTGGAGAAGTAAAATGGGCAGCAAATGTGACTAGATTCAGAGATTAAATAAAACCTAACAGTTATAATTAAGCATAAAAGCCCACAAACCCATGCTTTGAACGTGAGACAGCGGACGGCTATGAACTGCTTTGAATGCGGCTACTCACAGCTTTTGCTGAAGAGGGTGAGGAGAGACGAGCAGCTGAGCACAGGACACCAAACCACAAATTCATCTCAGTTTGATGCAACACTTGGACTATTGGTTCTTTAAGCCCTTGTTCAGATTTCATTACAGTCAAGAAAGCTAGCAGGTGCCTTTGCATGAAAGTGTTGAGCAGGACAGAAATAGACTTAATCATGGGCTTGGATGCTCCTCTGTGTTTCAAGTTGATAGTGCTGAAAATGAAGGTGATACAAGGCCTGTAGTTACAAGGTTTTGAACGTCTAAACATTATTTCACAACCTTTTTTTCCCTATCCAGAGTGAGTTTTTATAGTTTAGCCATTAATCTCATGAAGCAGGAATTTAACATGTCAGTGCTGACAGACTGTTAACTATAGCAGCAATGATGAAGCTTCTATAATATTAACCTTTCAAAAAATAAAACTGCAATAATGATGTTGTTTCCATTAGACCTTTCAGATCACTTACAAATTATCTGGAACTCCTACTGTTTATTTGTTTTTACTTTAGATTGTTGCCCCAAGCACTTAAATAATTGTAATAAAATAATAATAGAATTAAGATTAGATAAATTAAGTGGAAATGAAACTGAATACATTTTCCGTGACAGCTGGCAAGTCCCATTCTGTGACTGCTCAGAAACAAAACTGGAATTTTTATGACAGTAGACAATAAGGCGATCGTGTACAGGATGTAACCCAATGCTCAAGAGGAGCAGTGTGTAAGTGACACATCAACAAAACCAAACTTGTTTCATTTATGTACTGTTAATTACCATAACTTCCATAATCATGGACATCTGTTCTCACTTTCTCATACATGTACCTATACACAGATAATTGCCACTATCTATTGGTCAGTAAAGCATAGAGATAGATGAGTTATAGCATATAATTATATATATGTATAGATATTTTTACTTATATATAGATATGCCCATCTCTGTCTTATTTATGCAAGTAATATTTATTTCTTAAACTTCACATCCAAACTATAACTAGGGGTCCTTGCATAGATGGAGGGACATTATACAGAAGAAAGAGCAAACAGTTTTTAACTAATCAAAAATTAAGTCTGACAATATTAGTGTAGTATCTTTTGTCATGATGTTTCCAAAACATTGTTTCAAAGGACTTTTTTTTTTTTTTTTCCCAACCAGACTATAAAGGATTATCAGCTTTAAAAGAGTTGCATAGTTCCAAGAGAAATAGCCATTGGTTTATTGCATTATTCAGTTACAAGAGAGAAGCAACCAATAGATTACAACCCTTAATAGATTTTTTTTTTCCTGTTCAGTCTTGAGTACTTAAGGGTGATATTTCTTCCATGGAACACTTTCTGATTGCCCCTTTTCAATTACTATATTTTTGAACTTTATGAAAGAAGCCAAGGAAGTTAACTGATTTGCTTGAATTTCATGTCATTTCAGTGTTTATTTTTGTGCCTTAAGTCTGACAGACACATGTCTTGTATATATAAATTAAGGATTATTCAAGACCATATCTCTGTTTGAAGTAACATTTTATCTTAAAGAAATGGAAATATCTGCATATGTAAGGTTAATAAACTTTATATTGACAAATATGTATTATTGTGAGCTAGGTAAAATCAAATACAGTCTTTAAAATATATTTTTAAAAGCTTGGAGATCTTTGAAGGCTATTGATACTAATTTTTTATTTACTAATGTTATAAATTTTGAAATGAACATGAAATTGTACTCCAGAAATTAATTTAAAATTTCATCATACCTAGTCAACGGGCCTAACTTTGTTTGCATTTCTGTTAACTGCTCTTGGATGACAAGTCCAAAAAATTGTTACGATCTTTTTTCTGTACGTGTCCTGGATAACACATCCTGGGTTAAATAACACTAAACTGCAGGTACTGTATTACCGCTCCCAGTTTTGAGAAGGATAATTCATTAAATCAATCTACTTGTCCCTTGATTAGAGGAATTCCTGCAGGTCACAGAGAATTGCTGCTCCATGTTCAGTCATTTCTAGAAAGACTATTAATTGTACATTATTGAGATCTAGATATTAACTTATTTACTCTATTTTCCCATTCTCCACCCTTTTAGTCAGTGTTCTGGGATTGTGCCACCAGCTGGAAGGACCTGGGGAGATCAAGATGGCAAGCAGAGCTTGCCTTATTGAAAGTAAAAGAAACTATTTCCAGACTGCCAAATGCTTATTAGGAAAAATGAGTATTAATTTCATACTCTCATTCATCAGTGTTAACATTATTCTGATTTTGCCTTTCTATGTGTTTCTATTTGTCTTTCATCTATAGGATCTTAACAGAAGCATATCTGGGGGACAATATGCTGCATTGAACTGTTAGATAAAATAGTGCATAAATGAGCTGTCCCACACAGAAGAAAACAAAAATTTAGCAACCATTCTCAGTTAATGAATTTGGGAATTATTCTACTTTAAAAAAACGCCTCTACATGATCAGGAACAAAATAATTTTCAAACTGAAACTTTTTATTAATTATTTTCACCAAAAAATCATGAATTTATTTCATTTAATGTTTTTAAAGTATTTAAAGAATCAAAGTTCTTATTTGGGACAAACAAACTTTAAAGTCACATTTTTTTTCCATCTGTGTAATAATAATAATAATAATAATAATAATAATAATAATAATAATAATAATAATAATAATGTAAAAATGCATTTATTTATTTATTTATTTATTTATTTATTTTCAGCTTATATGGAAATAAACTTTAAAAAATGGTTATTCATATTGACTCACCTACAAGTCAGTTTGAAAAATGGCTTACAAGCCTTGATAATGAATATAACTGCATCTGTATACAGTTCAAAGGAGAAGGCATTTATAGCTTTTCACTTCAGTTCTCAGTACAACATTTTAGCTTTGATAATAAAATTCCACATCGAAGCTTTGCATTGCTAAGGCACCATTGCTTCTACAAAGCAGGCATCGTGAGTTAAGTAATGACTTAAAATTCTAGCACTAGGCTATTATTTTGAGTGCTTTAGGAAAACAGACCTCTGAATCTGGTGGTCTTGCTTTCTACTATCAAGCCATAGATCAGTACCCTTGCAAGGTGCTGAGCACTCTCACTTCCCTCCATACATCCAGGGAAACTTAAAACTTACAGCACCAGGACCCTCACTGTCAAAACGGCAAGCCCAGGATAAACTCCAAATTCATCTTTACACCTGAGCAAGACACAGACCATAAAAATCCTGCAACTCTTGACCATTCAGTCTTTTGTTCTGTGACAGTCATCACGTGGTGCTGGGTATTACAAAGAAAAAAAAGAACAAAACCTGTACCGTGGAGCGTATGATAACCTACTGGACATTTCTTCCCTATTAGCCAGTTAAGCAGAAGATTAGTCTGTACCCTGAGGCCTGAGGATTTAGATCACATCCACACTTTTTTTTTTCCCCCTTTCTAATCTGTATCTGTTTTCAATCTCTAGCGTAATAATCTAGTAATGTATTCATTCAAATCCTGTGAAACTATTTATATACTGTACTTCTGTTGTATTTCTTTGGAGATAAGAAAACTCAAAGGACCACCACTCAGAAAGTCAAGCCATCATTTCATGGTCCCACTGTGCCCATGGAGTTAAGGGGCAAATTCTCTGCTATTGTACACTGGTCCATAAGGAGGCTGGTGACAACAGGGAAGGAGAGAATGACTGGGAAATAATGACATAGTATACTGGTTTATGTCTCCTGAGGAACGGGCCCACTGTTTTAAAACAGTAAATTGTTGCTCTGCCTTCACACCTCCACATCAAGATATACACTGGAAATAAATAGAAGACAATATTTGAGGTGATTCTGTGGTCTCTAAAAGCCAAAGGAGACACAGACATAGATATGTAAATAAAGCTATAGATATAGGTGAAACAGATACACGCATTTAATATTTCTGCTGAGTCAAACAAAGGAGACCGAATTTGGTTCATACTAATCCATGTACCACAACTTTGGAGGGGAGCAGAGGGCTCTGATTTTATTTCTGAGTTGGCTTGTCCTCTACTGCAAAGGAGAAAAAAATCTGAAGCTGATTTACTGAGCTTGCGAAGCCTCCCTCCTCCTCCCACTAACAGAAAGTGTGCTAAAGTAAGGGCTGGTAGAACAAGACAGATATGACTGGGTCTGAGTGGTCTCTTTGACCTCGTTAAAACTAATGCTCTGATATATCCCGTATGCTGCACACTTTACACCCATTAAAATCCAGATTAACTCCAGGGAAATCAATGTCGCTTTAGGGTGACTGAAACAGAATATGTTTTTTTTCTAATAAAACATTTGCCAAGTAATATTGGTATTAAATATAGTGTAAGCTCATTCATTTCAAAATGTAGTGCCTCCTATGAACACTTTTCTGGATAAAAATGTTTTATCTTTTCCTTAAAAATTGCTGTATTTGAAAGAATTATTTTTTTTTCCTAGCACCTGCTTAATCTTTTGTTCCATAGATAATTTCTCATTACCCAGGTGTCCTCTTATGGAACCACAGAAAGATTGGGCCTAGTTTAAGTGTGAAATAATCCTGTTGCTTCTATCTGAGAATGAATGAGTCCAGGATTAGATCAGATAAAACACACTTGAGGTAAAGTGCACAAGGTGGATTATATGGGAAAAGAGGATTTAGTGAAGAACATATCCACAACTTTTTGTTAACATAGAGAATGGTAGCTTTTGTAAGCAACATTTATGGAAACTCAACTGGAGGTTTAAAAGCTATGTCTTTTGTTGTACATTTCTCTGCATACATTTGCTTTGTAGTTGGTAGCTTTAACTTTGGAAGCCATGCTGGGCCTTGACTCATGTTCATTTTATTTAATGAAAAGCTAAGGATGTACTTTTACTCATAGATTCTTGTTTTGTTTTCTTTGAAGTTTATTAAGCCATCCAGTAAGATGGGAGGTTCATTAGGTTGTTATTATCATGGCCACAAATTAAGCATCTGTTCCCTGGGGAGTTATAAGCTTCAAGTGGATGTCAGGGCCATACTTATTACAATATTTACTTAATTACCAACTTACTGCTTCTTGTCATATAAAATACAAACATGGACTCTGCTGTCCACGTTAGACACATACTCTCCACCTGCTGAATGTTTAAGATCCACTTATTCCATTTAAGCTCTGTTTTAAAGTATGCACCAATTTTTTTGTAAAACGATAACTAAAAAAGGTAAACCAAGAACAATTAAGCACAAAAAGTGAATTTAAGATATCATCAAGAATATTCAAAAATTATACGCTATCTGACATTACCACTGATTTTGGTTTCATATCTCAGGATGTTGGAAGCTTCCAGTACCAACAAATGCATCAAAAAATTAGCTAATCATGATTTGTCAAAGCACCTCAAAAGTCAGCATGTAAGGGTGTTTTGTCATGTAGCTGGTTGGAGATCACTGGAGTTGAGAGCTCTCCTCTGCAATAAAATCAGGCTTTTCAAGGCTGTAGCACATATCTTTTATGAAAACTCAGGGAATTTCACATGCGATGCAAATGTGCCATAACAAATGTCTGAAAGTCACTCTTCATCATAATTTTGTTGGGTTTTTTTCCTCCTCTTCAGTGCTTTAATTACCTAATGTTGTAAATTACAGAATTACCAGATCTTCCCCTGTCTAGTCTTCCAAAAATGTCAAGCCATATAAAACTGAAAATGTTATTCCCTCCTCTCAGACATGACTTGTGTAAACAGATGTGACTGTTGGAAGGATGTCAACACCACCAAACAATGTCTCTATTTTTGGAAAATTCATGTCCTTTTTTACTTCAGATGTTACATTTGGACTTTACGTTTATTGTCTGTCAAACTCATCACTGGAACGTTATCTACCATGTAACTAACACTTCACTGCAAGGCCTTTCCATATCTTATAGACATAACTCCAGATCTTTTCATATTTCATAGACATAACTCTCACTCTTCTAGTAGTATACTGTTTGACACAGTCCATTCTAGCAGCCCTTTTCCCTGTAAAGAAATCCTGTAATTATTTAACTTTGACAAATCCTTCCCTGGAGATGCCTGTGTCTTCCCCAACTATAGAAGGAACACAGGCGTCTAAATCCCGGTCCTCAAGCCACAGCACATGAATAGCCTCCATCATTTCTATAAATTCTACTTAATATAAGAACACTTTTAAAATCTAGGTTTATGCAACCCCCAATTTTAAAGGAATAATGGTTATATCCAAGCCTCAATGCTTTTCTGGTTTTCTCATCAGAATGAAAGGCCAGCTTAATGAGATAGCACCTACCAATGAACATGACTTCTGAAATAAAAAATATTACTAACTTGTTTTGAAATTGTCAACATGAAAGATTTTGCTTAATAAAAGAAGCCATTTTCCAGCTTAAATGCTGCAAGAAAAGTTTCAATAGTTCTGGTAGATCCATATAACCATTTTCAAGTAAAATACTGAGATTTTGAGCTCCAGTGTAGAAGAAAGATGAAAAACTTTTAGGTTCCATCTTTTGTAGAAAATATCCTAGAAATAAGTCTTGCCTAGGAAACGTACGCTAAATACAAAATCTAATACTAAAGTGCTTGATGTGCATTCTTGATGTTTATATTAATTAGCAAGAATTTTGAGAACTTTTCCTTAAAAAAGTAAAAATTAATATAAATATCTGAAAATATGATGATATCGATATTTTGGTGACCAATGAATCTCATCTATTTTAGGCTAGTGTAAAATTCAAACCATCATCCAAAAAAAAGCCCAAACCCCAACAACCCAGCCTTTACATTTCTTAATTTTCCTTGTGGGTTTTTTTGAGTTTTTAAAATATGTATACTCTTTGCAAAGATGACCTTAATCTGTTTGTCATTCAGTTCTGCAAAACAAAGATTACAAAACATTTACAAAATTATCTTACAAAACATTAAAAAATTTGTTAATAATTTCATTCTCTTTTGAAGGATGAAATGATTTGAAAAGTTTAAATAAACTGATTAGTTTCCATCTTGTCATGCAACAATAATTAAAATGAAAAAAACAACAATGTCAGTCATTATTTCAGCCATCAGGGACTCCATTATAATTTTGCGTAGGACCAGACATTAGTGAAGTTATTTAGTTATATTATTGTCATCAGAATATGACTCTTCCTCTGAAGTGTCTGGGATTTCTCAAATCTATTCAAATACTGGGAAATAAACCAACATTTTATATAATCTATTAATGATTATAGTAAAATAATAATGAAAATATTCTCCCGTGAATTTTATTTTTCTACATTTTCTTAAAAATAGGTTTGTGATTAAAAATAATCATCTGTAATTATATCCACAGAGCTGTTTTTTTTATCCATGCTAACAAAAATATGGCCATGCTTTCTATGAAAAGTGTATTTCGCAATATGATGTGCTGTAAACAACATGTCTTTAGGCTATTTTTGACCTTTAACCAATGGGAAAGGTCTGTCTAGTTGATCTCATCTAACTACACAGCAGGTACAAGGAATTAAAGCAATTTAGATTGAGCCCTGGTACAATATCAAGTATCAGACAATGTTTTCCAAAAGGAAATACTTAACAAGTTTGTAATCCACTATTGTATTTATCTAGTGAAAGAGGTAAAAGGAAAAAAAAAATCTGAGCTCTGTTCCACAGAGTGGAATCCCAAGTAAAAATTTATGATATCACATTGTTTGTAAAAGTTGGCAAGGAAGGCTGTTATGAGCAAATTAAAAATAAACAATCTACTCCGGACCTACACTGTGTCAGACTGCTTATAAGGTCACACAAGAAAAGTAAAACATTAAATAGTTGGCTCCAGCAGCCTTAAGATATTTGCCTGACTTTCAAACAAAACTGTGTTTTTCACTGTGAGAGCACAGAACGTAACAATAGTTCAATAATTCAGGGGTTTTTTGTTTAAATAAAGTGGGGTTTGATACTAATCATGTCCTGAATAACACAAGCATAATCTAAGGGGACAACTTTGGTTTTGGTAATAATGCTGGCCCCAAACTCACAATTCTGGCTGCGATAGAGCCTGATGCCTCTCCAGGGCGCTGCAGGAAGAGTTGAGCTGCTTCATCAAGGGACTGGGAACATGGGATACACACTGCTTTCTCAGCAAGCAGGAAACCCAACAAAATGATTCAGGACGATATGGTGTCATCACACGAGGAAAGGGTGTATATATTTGGGGAATATTCAAACGTTTAAAACTGGAAATGGAGCATAATGCAAGCCACTATAGAGCAGATGCTAAGCTTGAAGGGCTCTTAGGAATGCATATACCACATTTTAATTTCACCTCCTATTATTATACTAACTAGTCACAAAATGGCTTCTTATTTATGCAATATGTTATCTGTAATGTCACTTAAATTGAATAGATGAGTGCCTTCTAATAATGTATGTTTACTTCATGAACTTGTGGGCAATTACATTGTAATTATGTCTTTTGTAGGTCTTTTTTTGCTGACACATAGTGCACCAGTGCATTTTAAGTGTAATTGCAGTTCTCCCTACCATTTAGGAAAGCTGAACATTGTTAAAGGTTTGTAAATTACCTACACTTAGACCATAGGCAACTAGGCAAATTAAATGGCAGTGTCAGTAATATTACAATGTAAATTGGTGCCAAGCATAACCCAAGGTAGGAGCGTTTTTACAGAATAATGTTTACCTAGCACCTCAAAAAAATGCAACAGAAAAAACAGATACTCCCAAACTTGCAGAAGTGCCTATTTCTTATACCTGAATAAACAGATACAGTATACATACCTATCAACTATCAAAAAAAGAAAAAAAAAAAGTTACATACACATATTCTGTACAACTGGGCAACACAGTCATCTTATAGAAAAGTATGCCCAAATGCCAGTGTATCAGAATGCCATCCTTCCCACACCTCAGGAATAGTGCTTCACCAGCGAAGCAAGCAAATATATTCCTAGCAGCCTGTAACGCCTGGGAGGGAGGGAGGGAGGGAGACAGACCATCCTTTGCAGTGAAAACTAGATCTTGACTACTCCCTTATTGTGAGAACTTGTACTCACCTGCATAAAGAAGCAACCAACCTCACTGACTGTGTTTGTTCTTCCCCCTTTCCTTAGGGTAAAAGTATATCACTGTGGGGACTTGCGGGAGCACATGGCAAGGGGATATCTGTGTGTCATCGTCACCATTTCAGCTTCTCGACAAATCCATGGAGCAGATCCCCAGGTAAACTCAAATTTGGGGGTCTAGTGATATTTAACCATGATCCCTGCAGCAGGAGGAACATTTTAAGCCTAATGAAGAGAGAAGAATCCTTTATCCCTATCCTTACTCCTGCTGAGCAGTGAGCTGAATCCCCTGGGTGACTTGAAGAGCAGAGGTAGAAAGAAAACTGTCTCTTGTCATCAGCATGAGGCCATATCTTCTACAGATGGGACACCAGGACTGCTTGATTGGCGCATGGAATTCTAAAATTAGGTTAATACATTTTCAGTCTGATGCTTTAAACCTATTCTCTGTGTGCTGTATCATGATTCACCTCAACACCTGGATCACAAGATTGCATTTCGTTTTAATTTTTTATCTACTTTGAGGATAAGCCTGAAAGCAGAGAATATTTTTATTTGTCCAGCTTTTGTAATAATTCATGAAGCACAATTACAAAAATACATTTTTTTTACTAGAGACATGACATACTGGTGTTGTTTTCACGAATAGAAATTTGGAGAGTTGCTGGTGTTTTTACTATAGGAACATGAACTATCATATGCATGGACATGTCACTACAGAATTTTTTTAAAGTAGATTTATGTCGCCCTATGGGGCTTAAGGGGATAGTGATTATTATACACTGAGAAATGTGCATTTAGCTTACAAAATCAATGTCCCACAGAGGTGACCACTCCAGAAAGACCAGCAACATCACTTAAGTAAATTAATTTTGAAGTACTGTCCTGTCACTTCATGCCTCTAGGCCAATCACTCACTGGTGGAGACATCCTAGTTTTGGATGAAACCAGCTCAACCATGCAAACTGTAGCTACTGCATGGGAATGAGCATCTGGGATTGACAGCTCACAGATCTTGGCAATAGAGGCCACAAATCCAATGACATAATTTTTATTTAGAGCAAAATCCTACTGGCATTTTTGTAGCACTCAATCATCAGTAAATATATAACAGAATAAACCCAGGAGGACAGATACTGATCTCAGTTGCCGTCCTTGCAACTTGGAAGTAGTAATGGAATTACACTGGTGCAAATCAGAATCATATCCTATGGCTGAATGCAAAAATTGGTATGATAAAATGGAAACAATCACATTGCAAGCATGTGCATCGTAAGGTCTCTCCTGTCCATTCAGAGTTGCCAGAACTTTGAATTCCTCTTTCTATTGGTATTTCTAACTAAAAGCAAGAAGAGCAAAATATAGAAAGTGAAACAAAACTGAGGAGTGGCTGGTAGCCACTTCCCCATGATTAGCTTGGTCAGAAAGAAAGAGGCTTGCAGAGCAATGGCATGACATGGACATGCATGGCTTTACAGCATGCAAAAGGTGTAACACACAGTCATTTTTAGCTACTGCGCATCTCTTGTCTTCTTTTTGGTTTTCTAAATCCATGATAATAAGCAGGACATACTGCTTAAATTAAAGGCTCCTTACTACAGCCTTACTAGGCGCTTTCTGTGTGACCAACTGAGATGGTTCAACCACTCCTGGCACCATCTCTAGTAACTTCTATTTGACTGGAATATACCTACTCATGCCATAATTTAAAGAAGTCAATTGACTTGTTGAAGACTGATGATTTGCACAGGCACAATAATAATCATGTTCACAGGCCTCTCTGTACCTCTTCTGCACCACTTTTGTTTTCACCTTTTTACACTAAACACAAAAAGGTTTTCAGTAAACACCAGTGCTAAGTGCTATTCCCTTTAAATGGACATAAATTATTCAACTACTGCAATTATTGCAAAAATGTAACTTTTAATTTGGGGAGGAAAAAACCCTTAATTGCTACATTCAGTAACTATTCTTCCATCCTCACAATGGATTTAGAAGAGAACAGCAAAGAAGTGAGGAATCCTGTTGCCAAACACAGCCCTTAAATTACCAGCTTGTCTATGGAGCTTTCTACTTTAATGCACTTAGGGGGAATAGCTCATCACTAATGATTTGGAAATACAGATCACATAGATCCTCAACTCAAAGTTGAACAGTAAACCGAGTTTTAAAAAACATGTTATGTCTCCTTCCTCTAATACATATACAGATTTAAAAAGAGTCATATTAATAACACCAAAATACCATGCCAAGCGCAGTGGTTTCCCTACAAACTCTATCACCTGTTTATCTCTCACCCTCAGTACTAACACTAAATTGGGCCTCATGAATTATTCATGGGGGCCCTCTAATGGGATAATTTTTCCTAGCTAGCACTGACACTAATGCTAAGAAAAATCTCTTGACATTAATCTTGGGTTGAAGAAAGCCCCAAATACCTAGTTTTCTTCTGAATGTTCCCTTTCCTCCTATTTAACACATTGCAGAAACCAGTCATTCTGTGGTGCCGTTAAGCATGAGTGTGGGCATGGGAGGGTAGAAGGGAAGCTATGAGGTCAGAGAGGGAATTTGTAACATTAGGATTTTCACATTGGGAATTCTGGGTCTGGTCCGGCTTGCATTAAATTTAAACGAAAGTTTCCCATTGCCATTCCTGGATAGCTGAATCAAGTCCCAAACCTTGCTCTTTTTTTGCACATATGCATAATCTCTGAGGGAAACAGGAATATCTGCTTGAAAAAGATGAGCAAACTATGAATCTGTAACTGCATTATTTTAGTTAAACTGCCTGGAGTTGATTAAAACCTTTTTTTTTTTTTTTACTCCCCATTTGTTTATAGCTATTCTGATGATGAAGTGATTCTGGGTATTTTTGAGGGCTGATCACAGAATTAATGGGCTTTGGTCTTGCAATTGCAAATACGACCATTGATAGAAGCATAAGAAGAGCAAAGGAGGTTTTGGTATGTCCTAAAGACAGAGTTGTTTTTAATTTATGCACAAAGAAGACTCTACAAAATGTTATCCAAATTACAATCCCTCCCCTAAAGAAAAATCTCTTTAAGATGTCCTGATATAAAAAAGAATCTATCTCAGAGAACTGTGAATTACAGTCTAAAATGTAGCCTTGTTAGCTAGTACTGTATGATAGGGATCCCTCCTCCCTCAGCATACACACTCCTTTGGTCACAGTGATAAAACTACTCACTTTCCTCATTTTTCTAAAATAAAATACCTAAAAAGCAATACATTTATTTTTTCAATTGTAGCTTTTTGACATCTATAATGGTTTTGTGTCTAAATCTGACAACATTTGTAACAAACTGAAGTGACTGTTACTGCTGGAATGTGTCCTGAAGGCTTTTTCTGTCGGAGGAGATGACAGTAACTTTTCCCATGCAGATTAAGCTGGTGTTTACAGATTTGCCCTGGGTGTGCATTTTTATCCAGCTGTGATCAAGTAACACTGCCTGATGAGTGCCAGACAGATCTCCTGATACGCAGGGCTTGCATGCCCATCACTTCTGCACAGAACATGGTTCTAATCTGGACACCATAGCAAAGATCAGCTATTATTTGGGTTTTATTTTCCCTTCATTTATATACTAAGGCAGATTACTCACATGAGAATGCAAAAAGCTTAATAATTTTAAAATCTCTCTGCCATTTTACAGAAAATAGCACTATGTGGATTTAAAAACATTTTTGTTCAGCTTTCCTGTTCCCTACACAGAGCCCTAACTGAGGATTTTAAAACAATAAGCAGTAGGGTGGGTGTTTTCATAACTTAGAATGTAGGATTTTTAAAAATTGTCTTTTCCTGATAATCTTTACTTTACATGCTGTAATAATCTGTGCTATGGCAAAATATAGCCTCAGTAACATATAACCTTTTTCTCATCAATGAAAAAGTGAGGTCAAGAGCTTGTTTGCCTTTGCAGGACCTGAATATACACATTAAAGAGATACTTTGAAAGTATCGGTTGTTGAATATTGCTTTCTCAGAACTCCTGGCTATTCAAGCCGGGAGGGAAGAAGTTCTGTTTCCTAACATCTGATTTCCTGTTCAGAATCTAATTCATGAAAAGATAAGAAACCACCCCCACCCCCCACCCCCTTTTAATTTGAACCTAAAACATATTTCTAAATATTAACAAAATTAGCATTGCCTGAAGTACTAGTGACTTATTTCACATCCATTGTGTGGTTTGAAGATGTTACTCTGGCATATCTGTGTGTTTTTATTAACACCTGTAAAAGGACTACCTAAACTAGTGGGTCAGATTCTGCTGTTTCATCAGCATTTCTACTGCTTTCAAAGACCAGTTGATCCATATTTATATTACGCAAAAATAACACTTGCCATTCAGTTTCCTGTTTGCTTCAAAATCCCATGCAATTTGTAGACCTTTCCTGCTCTAGTTCTAATTCCACTACAGGCAAGTATTAAGAAACTGATCCTCCATTCCATGCAGCAGTCAGCTCTGTATCATCTAATTATCCTTACAAATTGCAAGGCAGCTTTTTCCAGAAGCCAGCAGTGAGAAGGTACACATTAAAAAATAAAAATAAAAAATTAAAAATCAATGGTTTCTACCAAGAGCTGGTGTAGATAATTTTTATATTGGCTATACAATTTTTATATTTGTGCTGATGTCACTGAAGCTGCAGAAAACACAGTGGAAAAACTGATTCCAGAGTCTGGTACATAAAATGTCTGCAGAGTGTTTTTATTCTTTTCTGACTGTATTCATTAACTTGTGAGCTGGTAAGGTACTGGTGACCTCGGGGGAACACGGAGTTAGAGAAAGCCTTTCACCTCTGAGTCAGAGGCTGAAATCTGGGCAGGCCCTTGGTGACTGGAAGTCATTACTATGTGATGGTTGTCTTGTGACTTACATGGAACATGTTGGTGGGCTTATCCAGATTTAGTGGGCAGATGTCCACATCACAAAAGACACCACTAGAGTTTGCTCTCTTCTTGGCAGCTGTAGCAGAGAAACCAAGGAATAAATAGGCATAGCCCTCCTCTCCCCACCCCTCCCCATTACTTTCATTCAAATGGCAGGCTATTACAGAGGAACCTGCACTTGGAAACTGCAAGAATAGAGAATACACAACAATTTTACTCACCGCTGAGTTCATAAATTACAATATAAGCAGTAGGCCATGACAGTTGCAAGTTGCTATTTGGAAGGCACAGTTTGAAGCCAAACCATCCCAGGGGGGTGACAAGAGGCTTGCAGTCTCCCAAATAACTTCCCTGTACAGAAGAAAAGTGCTACTAGTACTTCTGTAAATTCAAGCATTCAGTTGTGAAGGCCATTGGCTAAGGATGAAGTCCATGGCTCTTCTCCCACTGCTAACTCACCCCTGGGGTCCCTCCTCTGCTCTGAAGGGTGCAGAACCAGTAGGGGAGGTTCTCTGCAGTGCATCTGCACCCGTGTCACAGGATGGGGGAGCAGGTACCGCCCCAGGAACCTGTTGGAGCATTTTTCCATCACCAGCTAAAGCTGAGTCTACTTTATAAATGTTATCTATATAATGTGAATGTATTTTACATGGTCATATACATATGTTTATATGTATATATGTGAAGTCTCATTGGCTGACAATAATTTAGCTATTCCATAAAACTTGAAACTATGTTCTCATATTTTTAAAGCAGCTTATTAATATGTCACCCAACAATTAGCTCACAGAAAGCCTATCAATTTTTGATAGTCTGTCTTAACTTACCAAGTTCATAAGCATTAAACCTATAAGGAGAAAATAAAAAATTCTAACCAGATTTTGAAAAACACTAATTAAGTTGCTCTTTGAGTACATTTAAAAATACAGAAAGTTGGAAGATTGTTTTCCTGGGAATTGCTTCTCCGGGTGCACTGAAGATTCAGTATAATGTGATTGTATGATTGTGGGTAATTCTTTAAATTGACAATAACACTTACAAGCCAGATTTCAAATGAACTGTGGCTAGTCACCTAAATACAGTACAGGCTGGTTTTAAATCACATCAGTATCAAATTTTATTCTACCTGAGGGCAATGAAGTCTAGAATGATGCTCAAGCAGCCTTACATTCATTACAGTTTTTCTGCTACAACTGTACCCATTTGGATCCCAATTCTTGTTAAAATGTAGGTGGATATTTTTGAGCCATTTTCTCAGCTGATAATACCCAGAACTCAATTAATGACAGTTTGAGCTCTGAAAAATAGTTATATGGTTATATATTACTACCTGATTTACCAAATAATCCACCTATTGGAGCTAATCAGATGTGTCATTTAGCTAAGGATCAGGTCCAGAATCATTATTTTTTAAAAAGTGGCAGAAGCAGCACAGACGAACATATATTTAACTAATTTATTTGTTCTTCCATCTCAATGAACATTGAATTTTATCCTTTTGTGCACAAAAATAAGTGTCCACAGAGATTTTTATAGCACTTATTGATTTAGAAGGACTTGCTCTACTATTGAATTTTGATTTGCCCGGGAAGATGTGTTTTTTAGCAGTCACCTGTCTATTATTCATTTAGCTAGGTTCTTGTATGAGCTTTTCACTTTTTAAAATCCCTTTCAGGAGACTTAATTTTCACCTGCATATACACTAGTTGACAGCTCCCTGTTCTTCTTCACTGTACTGACGAGTAAACCAAGAATCCCTGTACTCATTTCATTATAAACATTTTATAAGCATCACATAAAGATTACTTCTGAGCACAATGGTCAAGGCTAGACATGAGCCGCTATTCCCTGTGATGAAAGGCCAGTGTCCGATCAAATGAGCCATCCAGGCCCTAAAATGGCTTAAAAAAAAATAGTTTTAATCTCTTCATTGTCTGACTTCACGGCATGGTAGTGCTGCCCTTAAATAAAACTTACATAAAAATGGTTAGTACAGCTGGACAGAAAATGTGCTTGAAGTTTAGAATCACATATCATTGTTTATACAGATGACTATTTGGGATAGACTTCAATAGAATCTGACTTTACTAGCAAAGGAGAAGGCTTTGGCAATAGCACAGGGTGATCAGCAACAGCAACTCATATTTTCCAACTGAGATCAATGTGGACTTTAATCCATTAATGCAGACCTAAATATCACCAGACAGATATGAATAGATGACAGTGAAAATGTGAAGAAGAAAAGTCTGGAGTAGTCAGATTTAAGAGAGTTGTTTCATATTCCAATTCATTTTAGTACTCTACAGGAAAGCAGGCTGTTTCTAGATTTTCAATTAGCATACCCTAGATATGGACTGAAAACACTTCTTTTCTGCTAACACAGATGCTTTTTTGTTCACCCATTTTGAGCCTGTGTTCACAGAATTGGATTTTTACAAAATCCTTGGATGTATGTTAGCAATACATCTTTTTGAAATGTCAAGGAACAGGTTTGTTTGGAATGGAAAGTTGCCGACAATCACGCCAAGTCATTCAGATGCCAATTTAGATATTTAAATACTAACGCCAGGCTGGAGGAAGGGGAGAGGACAACCCCAAAAAAACAAAACCACCACCCGAACTGAAAGAGCTCCCAGCTCTGTGCCTATTAAACTAAAAATAAAGATGACGGCAGTATCTGCAAGCAGTTTGGGTGGTCAAAAAACAATGGTGCCCTCTGGTTTGAAAACAGTGTTTAGTGTTTGCACTGTTCTTACTTGTCACAATAAATTTGGACAGGGTTCCTATTTTCTGAATTGACTGAAGCTTTTCATTCTTTAAATTTCTAATGTGTTATGTCACGTCTTATTGTATTGCATGGTGTCACATTGCATTATTTTGCATCGTTGTCTCTGAAGTTGATGAAACACAACACAACAGCACATGAAAAAAAAGGAATAAGCTTTTGGTTACACAGACTAAGCGTTGTAATTCAATATTTGTCAGATGCAGTAGTCACTGCAAATAATCTCAAACTTTTTTAATAGTCGTAACTCCTGAATCAGATAGTGAGAAACCTGTTCAGTTTACTGGTTTATCATAAAGGAAGGACCCTCTCCTGGGAAACACACAGTTGTCATTATTTACTCAGTATCAGAGTATGCTGCTGCTGCTGCTGCTTTTCAGCCTCTGCATTGCTAATTTATAATGACTAGAATGAGATTTGAGGCATACTAGGTAGAGAATTTCTCAGAATACAATAATGAGAGTATCTATTTGAGACAGCATTAAAGGCACAATATGACTGTCTTGATTTTACACCACAAATACATATCCTTGGGACTACTTCCATTCATTATGATTAAGCCACGTCATTCAACAGAGAACTGAGGGCTTCTCCCTCCGCCCAATTGCTTTTGTTGATAACAATCCCATAAAACTAAGGAATTATAACCTAACAATAATGGTCCCATGAAGAAAAGAGAATATTTATATTCTGAGAAATAAACCAACTAATTGTTATAAAATAATATAGAGTCTGTAGTCCTCACAGAAGAAAATTCCTATTGATATTGCGAGTGTAATACTTGTCTGAGATGGAACTGCGTGAATATAAGAACTTAATAACAATAGTATTGGGTCATCACAAAAATTGTTTAGTCTAAGTACTGACTTCAAATTTGGAAAATACTCAAGGAACTTCCAAAAATAGGCACAAATATACAGAATGGAAACAAAACCCCCCAAATCAGAGACTGGCTTTCAGTGCAGTTATTCTTATTTCTGAATGTCTTTTTTGAGTGGATGTGGCTCAAAGTGGTTTTATTCTGAACTACTTTATTTTGATTTTAGATTTTTTTGCTGCAATACAACAAATTTGTTATAAAGAATCAGCAGGTTTATTTCTGTTTCATTCCATTGTTCTGGTCATTGCAAAATGTCGAGTGTTGCTGCTTGCCTCTCAGGAAACAAGAAAATAGATAAACTAAAGATATCATGTAATATTTGTATTATATCAAGGAGGTTAAAATAGTAAAATATATCCACAAGCACAACCAAGAATGTGCCAGAAAATATAATATGCCAAACTAAGGATTGTGAAGCAAAGCTGCCTGAAAAACAGGGCATAGGACTGACCAGGAGTCATCAAGTTCAAGTGTATGTCAGCACATGAATCACATCACGTATACCCAGTTAATAAATCTGCCTAGCTCTGTGTTTACTCCCACACTCCTGTATTATGGCTCTGGTGTCTAGAAAGCTTTTCTTCATTTCTTGTCCAAATGTACCCATAGCCAATTTATGTCTATTTGTTCTCATGTCAAAATTATCATGTGAATTCAAGAGCTATTGTTTCTCCCCAGTGTTTACCTCATCATCTATTTATAGACAGCAATCACTTCTCCCTCTCAACCTCTGTTTTCCCGGGTACAGCTTCTTTTCAGACAGGCCATCATTTCCTCTGATCACCATACTAGTCACTCTGTGCACCTGTTAAAAATACCCCAAACATTTGCACCCCAACTATAGGGATTCAGAATTTCAGGTGATGTCAGACAAGCACCTTGGTCAATGGCATGAATACTCTCTTTGCTTCATTAAAAATATTTTCCTCAGTGTATCTCTAAACTGCATTTTCCCTTTCTGTGGTCTAAGTGCACTGGTGGTTCATAGTAATTCTGTGATTGACTGTTACAACTAGGTATTTTTTCTCTCCTGTCATTTCCCACTGATGAGCCTACAGTTCATAGCAGATACTTTTCATTAGTCCCTAAGTGCATGACCTTGCAGCACATGACCTTAAATTTCATTCCATTTCTATTACCCCAGTCTTCAAGGTCATTTAATTCTTCCTGTATAATATTCCAATCCTCCTCTGTATTCATGACATCTACCAGTTTTGTATCATCAGCAAATTAATTAGTACACTCCTACTTTTTCTGCCTAGGTCATTAAGGAAAATATTAAATAAAATTAATCCCCAGACCAATCCTAAAGTAACTCCACTAGTAACTTTCCTCCAGGGAAAGAGAGAAATCCTTTCAACTCTAGTTTCCTCTTCAGTCACTTCTTTAGTTATCTTACAGTCCTGATACTTGTCCTTATCTTTTCCAATTTAACTAATAATTCTCCATGTAGTAATGCATCACATGCTTTACTGAAAAGCAGAAAAGTTGAATCTACTGTATTTGCTTGATCTCAACAATCACATTGTCATTAAAATAAAGGGAGTGTGATCACAAGTTTACCTGCATGAATTTTTTAAGAAATAAATTTATGTTTTACTTGATCCCATTTTCCTATGTTAATCTTTTTTAATTCTCCAAGTCTTAATCTAGTTTTTGGGTCACACCTAGGTTATCTTTAATTTCTATTCTTCCCTCAGTGCACAGTTATTCTCTTGGTTATTTTCCCATCATATGACTTAGAAAGGCTTTGCCATCTGTTTAATTTGGTTTGCAAGGTCTGACTCTGCTTGGCTTTCATCAGTTCCTTATGAAGTGACAAGATGTCCCTTTTTCTGCTAAACTGTCTTTCCCCAACCTCCATTCCTTGTCAGACTTTTATTATTTCTTGTATACTGTCTGAGGTTGTAATTTATCTGCTAAGGCATACAGTGTCACATTTAGTCCTCCTGATTTGAGACACATCACCTTGTTGGTGCAGTAATTACCTAGTAGAGAAATAACTTGAGTGAGAAATAACTGGAACTTCCCATGTTTGGCATTCATTGTGTTGGCTAGGCTGGGCAAAAAAGTCTTCCACAAAAATAAAGAATAGACTTTATCATATATTTCAGGGAGTGCCCTGCCTATTTAAGTGCATCCCTGGTGCTCCTTTGCACTTCTCCCTGTACATTCTCTTCTGCCTCTCCTTGTGATACCAAACCATTCAGTTTTACCTGCTATAATTACTTCATAGTTCATTGCAACCTTGCCGCATGTTGCTACCATATTGTGTCTTTCTTTGCTCCTAGCTTTTCACAGAGATTGAAAACCAGCAACCCAGCAAAGCCTGAGTGCCAAAAATGGCAAAGGGCTTGTCAGCAGGCAATGTTGCTGCAGCATTGGCAGCTCTCCCAGTGTGCACCCAAAGCTCTCTTTAGCGAGGGAGATCCAGCTTCGTTGCTGTGGGGAAGCAAGCACAATCACAAGATTATCAGTTATGCCTTTGACTTATCTTTCTCTTGCTCAGGAAATTAATTTTATATCCATATCTATCTGTCTATCTATCTATCTATCTAAAAAAATGTGTATATCTGTGTGTATGTATATACATGCATATGCACAGTTGTCTACAAATTTAAAACACATTTACTGAGATGTATTAGTAAAGAGATTAGCAGATATTACAGTAGAAATGAATCATGATTGCCCTTAGGAAATAGTCTTATCAAATATTAGGAGCCTACTTCATTCTATTACTTGTTTGTTTATGGTTCACATTAGAATTTTGGCTGTAACCATTACATTACCTTGAGTTGTAACAATTTCTAAGTTGAACACTCTTCATGTGTACTCTGTGGCTAAACAGAGCTGCATCTCTAAAGGTTGTCAGTGGATGCCACTTGTCCTTGCAAAGAGCAGTGCATTTAACTGGACAGGCAAAAGCTCAGAACAATCCCAGATGGCAGGAAACATGTAGCAGGCACGTCAGAGAAAGATAACTTCTCATAAAGCCTTCCTAGTCGCATTTGATTTGACATGAGCACTGTAGAGCTCCTTCAGTGAGTCAGATTCACAGAATCACAGAATCATCTAGGTCGGAAAAGACCTTGAAGTCCAACCATTAACCATTAAGATTGCAGAGATGCTTCCTCCAGCGCATTTTTGAATATACCAGAATTGAGTATAACTGCATTATGCGAGTATGAACAAACTTTAGGTGCCTTTGCTTGAATGGAAAAGGCTGTGGAGAACCTATCTATAAGAGGGGCAAGCACAACACTTCAGAGCAGAGTGCGGAAGTGTTTTTGCATGGGGGTTTCTGGTGCCAACCAGAAATAGGAGCTATGGAATCAACAACTAGTAGCTGTGGTAATTAAAACCCATGAAGATTTTGACCTTTGTAATTGTTTTTCCCGTGTTTCTGTTTCTCCCCACAGTGGTGTTATCCCTACTCTTTTAACTGACTCCTGCATGTCTGAATTCAGCATGTGCACCTGCCATTCTTCAGAATTTCCCTTACACAGCTGCTGTTCTGAATGGTTGTGTAAAGTCTCTGTAACTGCTCAAAAGCTGTTCTCTTCCAGCAGTATCTCTAACTCATTGATGATTTCAGGCTGTTTGTGCAGTCAGAACTGTCAGTATAACGTGCATTACATATGTTCAAAGTTAATATAGCCAAATATGAGACAATGAATTTTTGGGGGGGATCCTCCTGAAAGTTCATTTATTTCTCTTAGCATGTTCTGTTTTTAAAAAAAAAAAATATTCTTGGCTTTCAATGTATGTAGACCTTTACTCCGTGTTCTTAAGCTACAGATAAGCTGGTGCACTATAGGTCAAAGGCAGGGATTTCATAATAAAAGTGCAGAATCAGTCATGCTGGCTAGACCAAATTTTCCGTAACTGTTTCCTGGCTTCAGCACTGGTGGTTGATTGTCTGGAGAAAAGCAGACAGTGGCATACATAAAATGATTTTTCCCTTCAGTTTCTTTTCCTGCACTCTGGATATTAATGTCTTATGAACATACTAAGCTCGGTGTTGCCTCCAGGTCATCTTTTTTAAGAACCACTCATGAACCAAAACTACGTAACTCTTACTGATTTTTCAGCCCATCTATACTTTTACCTCCATAGTTTTCTGTAGACGTGAAGTCCACAACTGCCAGCATTTTCTCCATTTTAAACCTAAACCCCTCGTTTGCTGTCTTTGGAGTCTTGCATCTCATACTGTGAGAAATAGTGAATGATGATTCCCTGTTCACATTCTGATATAATTCATAGTTTTTCATAGTTTTCTGTCTTATCTCACTTCTGACATGGCTTTTGCAAGATGTAGAGTCCTAAGCTACTCAAACTCATATGAAAGCAGTTACATTCTTCCCATCTTCCTTGTAAGCCTTTCCCCGTTTTCCTATATCTTTTTGGAGATGGGAAAATCCATACTGAACACAGTATTCATGGCATGGTTTTATAGCAGGTTTATGCAGGAGCACATTAATTTTGATTTCTCTTCTTACTTTTTTTGCTAATATTGCTTAACAATCAATTTGCAATTTTGACCATTACTGATGTTTCCAGAGAATCACACACATTGGCTCCAAGACCTGAACATTTTGCAAGCCATTTTTGTATAAGCCTAAAATTGTTTTTCTCCATAAGTGTTACAATATATTAACAGGCACTAAGGATGGGATTCAGTTCCCCAAACATAGGCATTTAAGGTCACAATCAAGTACAGGCTATGTGTTGAACTTCTGTCACCGTCATGTGGATTTGTCAAGTATCCTCTCAGATGACTCCAGGTGTCTATTTTCAAGGGACTAGAACACACCCTGAATATCCGATACCATCCTGTCCCTCACTTGGCTAAGAAATCTTATTCCAAACCTTCACATCAACCTTAAATAATTTTGTATCATCTGTAAACAGCAGGAACTTCTGAATCATCCACCTCCTTCGTAAAAGTTATTTCTGAATACACAGACTGTACAATTCCTCTGTGCTTCCATCAGCAACCTCTCTCTGTTGAGAAAATAGTTATTTTATTCCTGCCCATTGTCTCCTATTTTTATTCAGTTATTAATCCAAGCCATTTTGTTAGTTCTTAAGATCTTAGTTTCTTAAAGTTCTTTTGAGTTAGGGATCCTTCAAAAAGCTTTTTGATCATACAATCTTATCTGACATTGTTCATTAAGCCCCTACAAAATTGAATTTGTTCTCATAGAAAATGTATTCATACTTAACTAACTTGATAACTTAACTAACTTGATATCAGAGTTAATCATCAGCAATTTCCCCATTGAATTCTATTTAGAGAAATACTATCGGATCCTTATAATTAGATCCTGTTGATTTTCTCCTATTTGTTCCAAAATCTCTTATATTGACTTTTCAGTTCAAAACAGATTCTTACATTCATGTCCTGTAAGAGTGAACCTGGAAGAGTCTCCTGATAACCTTAGTGCTAAATGCTGATTCCGAAGTTCAATTTATCCTTTCTACTGTGACCTGATGTTAATTAAATGTTCCATTTCTACTTTCAAAACTGAGTTCCAGGAAATCCTTTCAGGACTTCCAGCAAACTCTGCTGCACCCCTTGCATTGATTCTGAAGATGAACAGATAATAAACCAGGTTTAACACACTTACTCAATAACACACTCGGGTCACAACCCTCCAGACAGATCGTTCTTCTTTACAAGCCACTACCACTATACCCCTGCTATTGGTACTAAATGTTATTCAGGAAAAATTAAATCAAAACAGATTAGTGGATAACAAGGGAACATTTTTTTTATTGATCGAAAGAATCCTACTCAGTCTTAATATAAGACAGAAGTAGATATTAATTTTCAGTATGTCACCAACATTTGATCCAACCCTCTGTAAAAGATTTTTTTCCTTACTAATATAATTCTATCATTCTTATATTCAGTGCTAGTCATCCACTGTCTGTATCACATATTAAAAACAAACCCACAAGTGTACACATTTCTGCTCTTCAGAAGGATACAAAATGCCTATTTATTATATATCAACCATGTGTATGCAACCGTATACAGAGAGTTTTGTGATAGACATACCATTTACTGAACTGAATGGATATTTAAATCCCGGTTGTCTGAAGAAGGGGGAATTGAGTGTCTAGTGTCTGTCTGTAGTATCTCATCGAAATGAACAATACTGTGCACTTAGAGAAGGAGAAAGAAAATTGCTTGGACAGGTAATATGAATTCCAGACATGTTAGTGATTGCTTTGCTTTGCCATTTCTGGAGTGTCAGGTTTTTGAATCAGCATTATTCACCTCTAATTAACATCAATACCCTGAACCCAAATTTTTCTGTAATTGCTTTTTCATGTATCTTTTCCATATATTCTCACTGTAAGACAGTATGTAGGCTTGAGAGGCCTAAACCATTTATAGTTCAGCAAAGACCTTAAGCTGTGCTTTTCAAGTTTTATTAACAACAAGTTCCAGTTCTGTACTGATTTTCCTGCTGCGCATACAAAAATGCCATGAGCATTTTTGGTGGATATTAACAAATTTCAACAGTACAAAACCAATCCTACATTTTGCAGATAATTAGACCATCTGAAATAATTTTGAAAAGGTGGTTTCTTTTGTGATCTGTGAGTAATTCACTTTCATGGACACATATCCCTTCTTAGAACTGGCTAGGGTAATTTACACATTACAAGGCTTCTAGACATAGTTGGCCACTTATCCAGTGCTAATAAATTGAAAATGTGTGTGCATGATTTAACAGAAAAAGGAAGATGTGAATGTAATGCAGGTAATTGCTGAACTACAGTTCTGCTTCTGACAGCTAAAGAATACATGAATAGAGCTATCTGGAGGACACAAGTTACTTTGCATCAACTTCCAAAATGATGATTTTTCTCTTAACTATTTGAGAACAATGATATGACAATTTTGGGGAAAATGTGTTGTGTCAAAACATCTGATCGCAGGCAAAATTATTCTAGATGTTCAAGTGTGACTCTGCATGTGGGGAGAGGATGCAGGACCACATTCCTCCTCCTTCAGCATCCATATGGGACTTTAGAGAAAAAACAAGCCTTCCTGTAAAAAACAGGATGATTTTGTTGCACAATGTTTCACTTTCAACAAAAGACTGTTTTCTTTTAAAAATCATTTCTGGTATAGCTCATTTCTGCCAGGCTTTTCAAGTCACCATTCACTGGCTAGACTGGTGTGTCATTTCCAATGCCTAACGTTACAAATTGGATCTTCTAGATTTGATTCCTGGTTACTGAGGATGAACTTCTGCAGGTTCATAAAAGACCTTCAGTTTTGAAGAGCTCTCTACTTCAAAGGATAAACCTTCCTTTTCTTTAGCAAGGTCTCATTCCTGCCTCTGCCAGTACCAGGTATTTTGCACGGTTTGCTACAAAGTCTTACGGGGAAAACAAGAAGCCTAAGAATTCTTAACAGAGGTGGAAACTGGGGAGAAAAAAAGGAAGATGGTTGGAAGTGTATAGGAGTGCTGTACCCTGACACATTGGTGATGCAGCAAAATTTCCTCTTTTTTTTAATATGCATTTTTTCTTTCCTTTTACAACCCCTCTATTTTGTTGTTGTTGTTCTTGTACTATTTGATGCTGGTTTTGTCCCATCCCAACCATTTTTTAAACAAAGATGTATGAAAAAAAATAAGCTCAGAATTAAAACTCTTAAGCAGAAAAACAGAGAAAGAAATTGAGATGTGAGGGGCAAATGTCACAATTAAAGTAGTAAAATGTTGTAAATTCCGTAACACTGAAATCAGCTTGAAATTGTGTCACAGCTACTAGCACAGATATTGAGTTGTAATTACTGAAAGACTCAGCAAATACAAGCATTGTGGTTCTTATTAAAACAAGCAACATTAGCACAGTACAGAGAAAGAGAAAAAAAAAATAAACAACAAAAAAAGGAAAGGCAAAATGCATACATATTCTTATCTCTAGTTTTTTTTTTTTTTTTTAAATAAGAAATTTCTTTAAGTATGAGCCCAGGATTCAGTCTCCACTCAAATTATGGAAATTGGGAGAAACGTCCATGAGGTTGGGTCCTGTTACAAAGGTATGAAACAAGTGTAAAGAGTTGGAGACTTAACAGGAGTTTATATAGTCCTATTTAAAGGAAAATATTTATCAGAAGAAACACTTTTTTGTTTATTTGTTTGCTGTCTAAAACCACTCTCGTTAAGAATTGTAGAGCTAAAATTTTCAGTTCATTTTAATTTTTGAGGCACTAGTAGCTGAAACGGTGTACAATTACTTGATACTGAGCTGACAAAGTATTTCAAACATAGCTCAGCCTCTCCTGCCTTCCTTCTTAATTCAGACATTCTGGAAATGGTGTCATTCTTACCACTCCTCCTATTATTTCTGCTCCACATCTCTGGTGGCTTCAGATCTTCCTGCCGCCCATCCAACATGGTCTTTGAATATCCCTCAACAACTCACACCAGCCACTGGCATCAGAATCAGCCCTCAGCAGCCCAGCACTACCTTGGAAAGTGGATGTCATTATTACCATTGATCACCAATGGAGCAGGGGATCTGTGTCAGCTGAAAAGACGCTTAACTCTTCAGTATTGCCTCAGTTCACGGCGGTTCCTTTTCTGTCTCCTGATATTTTATTACAGCAGAATCATTTTAATTGGCACATGCTGGTGGAAACAAAACTGCATCTGTTGAGGGCCAGATTCTAGCACTCCTGCTCAGGTGGTACAAGTCCCTTGTTCTGGAGGGTGTCCATTGAAATCAAGGGATCTGCCCAATTGTTAGAGGTTCATAGGAACACATTGTTCTGATAGGTATTCACTTTTATTCCATAATATGCTTTAAAAATACACACAGTACAAACCATTAAAAAAACTCCTATTAAAGTAAGTTTTGCCATAATAGAGAAGGGAAGCAGCAGGAAGGGAACAAAGGGCTACCCAGCACGACACTTATGCTAGCAAACACCAATTCACACCTGTTAACTACTGTGAATAAAATCTTTGGAATCAGTTCCTCAAAAAAGTCAAAGAAAGAAAGAAAAACTGTTCACCATGAAAGAAAATGGGAACCTCAGGTGTGCTGCTGAAAGCTTACAGAGTCAGATCAGCATTTATAATCAGTCACTTCTGAGACTACCTGAAGGAATGGAAGGAGAGGACTTGGCAGGTATACAAAGTATACACAAGCACAGAAGAATTGGTCCTTGTAATTTTGAAGTGAAATGGAGGATAACCCCACCAGGTCCCAGCAAAGATACAATGTTCTGAACTAAAAGTTCAGCCAGAGCTTTGGTCCTGGGAGATAATTATAAGGCTGCATGACCTAACTGACCCAACTTAATGAAATGAGTATGGCTGAACTGAGGACAAAAGAAAAATATACAGTGAGCATCAAAATAGGGTTCCTGATCTGTCACTGCTATTCAGATTCTTGCAAAAAGAGATGTGTCATTGTCAAAGGCTTTTCCATTAATAGATGTCAGCCTTCTCGGCTATAGGCAACCAAGCAGAGTATAGAAACAGAAGTGGACAAATTCTTATCTTATATTTATATCCACAGACATGACGACAGCTGCCTGAAAACTGTCACTAAAGACTGAAGTGTTTGTATTCAGGACATCTGCTCAAGATGAGTGTTTAATCGTTATTGTTACTTATCAGTCTAAAGCCCAATTACACATCCTTACCTTTGTGAGGATTGTGCACTTGGGCAATATTTCATCAACATGAGTAAGCATTACAAATCCATCCCCTCATTATTAATAATAATATTTCATTATTTGGAACAGAATGACCCTGCAGAGAGACCTAAGATTATTGGAGAACCTAGGGATTTATATCTTACACATGTTAAATCTGCTTTACATTTGCCCTGGTCCCAGAGTAAGCTTAAACTAGAAAAATCCAGCTGGAGGAAGTTGGGCTTGGTGAATTTTCTAGTGGTATGGGGCTGCCTTCCCAATCACGTAGCAAGAGCACACCACTGAGAAAGGACGATATGGTTTGCATATCCACAACCCAGCAATAACTCTTGGCTCCCCACACAGCCCAAAGGGCCTGTTCACAGATGACACAGCATAAATCCTGAGGTTATATCCCATTTTCCTTTATTTACACATACTAGTAATAGTATGTAACTACTAGTAACTTTACATACACATACTCATAGTCTTAAACAAGGGATGCTTTAGCAGGCAAGAGCAAGGTACAGTACTTAATGTGCAAATTCAGTTCAGCAGAACTCCAACTAAAGCGTGTCAGCCTCAAGGGCTTTTCTCTCAAACAGTGCTCCTAAGTTCTCCACAGAAGGAAACTTGCTGAACTACATCTTTCTGAACTTTAAAGAAAAAAGTCCTGATTCTAAACTGAACGAAGGAGGAAATGAATGAGTAACTTCACTGAAGGCAAGGAGAGGCCCTGGACAATTGGTAGAAGAACTATAAGGAATCCAGACAACACAGTCATGACGGGAAAATGTTCCTTCTTTTTTTTAAAAAAAAATCTCTTTTGTTGTAAGAACATTATCCATCTCAGTGACTTTATTCTCAGCAGCAAACCTTAGACTGATCTTTGAGGACTCTCTTAAATAATCTCTGGTATGGATATATAAATGAGAACAATCAAACCTAAGGTTTATTTTTTAATATGTTTCTGAGCTATCTTTTTATTCTCAGCCCCCCCCCTTCACCCTTTTCCCAAGTCACTTCTATTCCCATCTTTTTCTCCCTCGTTGATTCCCTCACAGCGGGCAGAGAGGCACCACTTCCAGGCAACTCCTGCTGTGTGTCAGTTGTTCTCCTGTATTTTTTTTCTCCTTTGCATGGCTCAGCCTCCCCAGACCTAAAAGAACATTTACTCCTGCCACAGCTACTTTTGCCTTAATTTCCATGCTTCTGCATCCTTTAGTGGTTGGCCACAGTGAAAGATCATTTGGTTGGGGGCCGATCCGCTGCCTTTTCTCAATAATTAGACTCAGTCCTGGGATTTGACTGGTGTTCTGTGTTTTAAGATTCCTTCCTTTCTTCCCTGGGGATTAACGAACCTTTTCAGATTGCTTCATGTGGTATAACATCATGAGGTCCCTTAGTTTTGCCAAAAAAATATCCAGAAGAATTAGTATTTAGCTGTTAAATATCTGCCAGTTTTCTTATTACTTCTTTGAAACTACAAGCATCTGGGAAATTCTGCTGTTCCCATTCTGGTACAGCAGACCCTTGATGGACTGACTCACGTAATCTCACAAATTTGGATTCATACTTATGTTCAAATTGGAAACTCGTGAGAGCTCTTGGCTCTGGTAAATAAGCCCAAAAATCTGTGGAAAACTCCTGGTCTTTTTAGAACTTCAGTTGTTACTACACACTTTTGCAGATAACTTGAGGGACTGCAGGCGAGGAAGGAATGAAATTCAGTGGTTACTTATCAGGTATGAGACTGTTGTTGTTTACTGGATACTCCAGACTAGTAGACTAGTCATGTACTAGTTTTGGGTCAGTTCCTTTAAGCCAACATAATTTTAAATCTCTGCTTCATTCAGTTTCAAATTGTTCCTGTTTACACCCACATGCTGTACAAATTTTTGCTGAGGAAGAATGAAACTTATTTTTGAGACAGTGGTGAGATAGGAGAGGAGTAGAAGAAGTCCCATTCTGAATAGGGATGAAAGGAATATTAGTCACACATCTGTGACTCGATCATGCAGCAGAGGAACCATGCCAGTATTGGTGGTGGAAACTGGACAGAGTTTCCGCAGGCTCTACTTAGATGGAGTGCCTAGACTGGGTTTCCTAAGACACTGGCCTGTCACTAGTGCAATGCATCTACAACACCGAACTGAACCGTTGTCTTTGACCTTGATGTAATCAGGATTTTGTTTTTGAGGTGAGATTTATCAATATCGTCTGGCTTCTTTCATTTAGCAGGTTAAAATGCCTCCTAACACACACGGAGATATTTTTCTTTTTCCCCCAGTCCCTTCACATGACTGCTTAATTATGTCCTTAGTTAACAGTTTTCTTGAGTACTTATAAGTATCATAAGCTGTTTCTAGGTAGACCACTCTTTCTTTGGTCTTCACAACACTTTCACAGGTGTTAACATTTTTTCTCAGGAAATATTAAAAAACTAGTTGCTGAGATTGTATAAAATAAATGAGTCGGGACAACTAAGCTAAAGCAATTTAAGAAAGAATGTAAAAAATTACCTTCAAGAGCACTTTCAAAAAAATTCCTTTCCTGACTAGATGTTTAAATAAACTGCCAGTATTTCCCTTCTGTACTAGAAGATTAAAAAGGCAAATATAACCATAGTAAACTTCAATAGTATACACAGTAAAGCTGAATATCCTGCATTGTCATCACAATATTAATGTTATCTTGTGTTATTAATTTAAAATAGTCTAAGAGAATTATCATTACATATTTACTAGCAGATTACTCAAATGATTTATAATCTCAGAGATCCCTGTAGTACTGCTGAAAATTTTTCCATTTGTTTTACTGGGCAAAACAGCATAAAATGACACAAAGTGCTTCTCTTGTTTACTTACACTTCTCTCAAGGTTGTGTAATCTTTTCATTCTGCCACCAGATAGATCTCCTTTCCTTTTGTCCTTAGGACTCCTCTACACAATTTCTTGAATATGCTTGTCTGAACAAGGAAAAGGGAAAAAGCATCAATATCATTAGTTCAGATTTTGAAAATACCTTACACTTGCAAATCTTTTTCACATTAAAAACTCCATTGCTTTGGGGAAAATTCTTTTTCTGTAATGTCTCAAAAATAAGAACTTCCAGGCTCAAGACCTAAAGACAAGACACTCTCTCACAGTGCAAAGATACTGCTGAAAGTTTTTATCAGGACTGGAAACGGAATTGGCAAATTGATTTAAATTAGTCAGGCCTGGCTACATATTGGGGAGTCTATGCTTGCATATCCATTTTTTTTACGCCATTGCTTCTTTTGGATTCTTAGATAAAAGAGTATAAAGTGGGCATTCTCCACTTGATGCAATTTCACTATACAGTGATTCCCATCAATGTATAATTAAAAGTGGATTTCCTTTTCCCTGTTTGGCTGAGGTGGGGGAGGGTCTGCATAAACCTGGTTGATGTGAAGTGAACAAAGAGAACTTTCATGAGTTCTCCTGCAAACAGTCTATCAGTTACAATTCCTAGTGTTCACACTGCTGCACTGTTCAAAAGGAGCTCTAAAAAAAAAGTCAAGCAGGGGGTCCAAGAAAAATTCAACCCGCATGCCAACTAAGGGAAAGAAAGAGAAGGCAGGAAAAAAAAACCTAGCTTTTGTTGTAAAAAGAACTAATGAAGCTGCTCTTAGAACTGTCCATGGTGACACAACAAGCCTGTGCACCCACACACATTGTGAGAATGCCAGTCACCCACGGTAATGAGAAAAGGAAACACTGTGGGCAAAGGAAATATATGAATACATTGCTTTTATGGTTTAACTGTAGGGAATCGCAACGCTGGCCCACAATATCTTGTGCCAACTGCCAAAAGTGGTAAAGTAATACATAAGGTTGTCTACTTAAATTTTTCTTACAGACAAGATGGACTGGTGGGGGGTAAAATCCCATTATCATTATAAATTGCTAATTAAATAATTATCAATTAGATGGGCAGACAGAACTCATTCCAATGAATTCCTTGGAGGGCTTTCAGTAAAGAAAAACAGTAATTTTGATTATTTTTTTTATCCATACTTCCTGCCTAGGGGCTCTAAATAGAGATGATATATGGTGTATCCCATGTTAGACTTTCACACAGTATATCCCATGTTAGAGCTCAGGGACAAACATTGAACTTTGGAGCATATATAGATCTTTTTTCAGTTTTTCAGATAAATGGCCCTAATTTCACGATATTAATTAGAAACCCAGGGTTATTTCCTAAGGAATAAAAAGAATACTTTCCAGACTTTTATGTGGCTTTGAGAAATCATTTTTTTCCACGTAACTGATAATATTTTCTAATATGTCATTGCATTTTCTTTTACGTTCTTTTCATAATCCAGAATTTTATTTGAAATAAATTCTTAAAATATGTAATATAGATAAATATATAGATGTTAGGCATGACTGAACACAGTACTAGGAGTACTTTTAATGAACTTTGCTTTATTCATTAACACAAAACCCAAAGCAAATTTAAACTCTATGCCAGTAGGTTTTAGCTGTCAAGTTTTCAGATCAGACCCTTGAGCAAAAATACCATTGTCGTAGTGTTGAGCTACAGAAATGATCCTGTCCCTTCCTGTACCCCCTACTTGTGTGAGTAAACTTTCCTGAGGAGAGCTGTCCCACTGGCTTTAGTAAAATTTACTCACCAGTCATTACTCACATGTGCACAGAGTGGTTGTACCCACATTTTTCTTGTCCTAAATGAATTTTCCATGACAATTAAAAGCTATAATGATGCACAACTGCTATTTAAAGCCACAGTTGTCTGTGACAAGGAGTATTTTCTAGGAACAGAAGTTTTGCTGACTGAAGAGTCACAGTAATGTTTGGGACGTAGTTTTGATTGCCGGCAAACACCAACAAAAAAGTAAGGAACGGAAATGGTAACATGAAAGATGGACTTTTAATTCCAAAGCCAGGAACATTTAAATATGAATGGAGCTTGCTGAAGTCCTCTATCCTTTGTCAGGAAATATGAAGCTCTGGAACTCCTTTTGTTGCCTTCTTTGTTAACTGTATGAGGCTGAAAGGAGCTAGATGGCTTGTTTCATTTTCAAGCCCCATCACAATGAGGCTCTCAAAAATAAATGCTGATAAATACATGAAAATGCTGAAGGGTTCATAAAGGAGAGAAAACTTTCTTTATCAGAAATGTCTGTCACTGGATGACTTACCAGGGACAATCATTATTAAAAAGCAAGTAGCAAGTTAGAGTTTTAAGGTTTAGAAATGGGAACTGAGTTACAGTATAAAATTAAAATATCATTATAGGAAGATATCTGAGAACAAAATCAAGTGATATAAAGTACCTTTAGCAATATGCACATCTTTTCTTTCCTATTTTGCTATTTTTCAGTTAGTTTCTGGGAGATCACAGAATCCCAGGGGAAGGTCCTCATGGTGATGTTCTCTAATGTGATTTACTTTGAGGAATACTTAATGGAGAAAGGTCCCTACTACATTTTGTTAGTGAGTTTTTGTTCATGGTTCAGGATTGATCCACTTGAGTCTTTCAGCAGGGAGTAGTTTTCCAGTGCGGCACAGCATGACTCCAAATCAATAAGGTTAATAGATGTGGTGGCCACACAGTCAGAGGTGATGTGCCTGGCATTTTCTGTGCCAATGAAGAAAATTTCTGATGACGAGATGTCATTTTTGTGCCGGCAGTAATGTCACCCTGATTACCTAGAGCACATAGCCAGTTAGTAAGTTAGCAAGACTGTAAATGGCCCATTAATCTGAATTATCTTTACAGGAACTGTTTCAAAAATTTTGCTCACACCCAAATTACTCGCCTCTCTGTGATTCTTGAAATGCCAACAGTACACTTGCTATAGAAAAATAGCATTGCTGTGTAAAAGTGACTAAATGGGAATAGCCAGCCTGGAACTTCAATGTATATTTTTAAACTCTCAACAACACACTATAAAACATGCAAAATGTCAGTATTAAAAAAAAAAAAAAAAAAAAAAAAAAAAAAAAAAAAAAAAAAAGTTGCAAGTTGTTTTAAAAAAGAAACACATAAGCAGAAGGAAAAAAATACAATGCAAAATACCACTGGAAAAGAGGTAATAACGTTAATGTCAAATCTGCTGATGTAATGAGAATGTGAATGTGTTGGTCTTCCTGCAGTTCTAATTTTCTCCGGCTTTTTAAAATATGCAAACTCTTAACAGTGACTCCCAGAGCATTAATGGGTACACATTCCCAGATGGCCTGCATTGTGAACAAAGTGTTGGACTGGACTGGAAAGAGAAATCTGCTTAATATTCCAATATCTAAATGTCAGGAAGGTGTAATTCAGAGTGCCACTGAAAGATGAGCTGAACAGAATACAATTTATGGTGACTTTAGTTAACAAATGGCATTAAGGGAAAGATTTCCATAATTAAATCATTAACTAATATGAAATATTGATTTCCTCTCTGATATTACTGTATTACCACTTGTCAGAGCTGCAGATACCCAAAGAGCACTCAGTGTAGTCCCTACCACAGGAATTTGCATTATGATAATACTGTTGAGCACTATCAAGTATAGAAAACAGAACAAGGTATCATGTGTACTAAACCATTCCTGCCCCAAAGAATTCACAGATAAAATTTTAAAGAAAATAATAGGATGGCTGCAAGGGAAGTCTGTCCAAACAGACTGGATCAAGTGATGATTTTTATTAGGAAGCTCATTCCACACTGGCTTCTTTCCACTCTCTACTGCTTGCTATGAACTGGAGCTTTTCCTAGCCACCTTTACAGTGCTTCTAGATAGCTGCTTATCTGAAAAGCTAAATTCTATTGCAATTTACATCAAGAACTCTCCTTTTCTAACGGCAAGAGATTGAATTTTTTTTGGTTGCTCTTTATATGTTAGTGTTGTCCAAGAGAAGTTGAGTACACACCATGGAAGCAATAAATGATGAATTTACTCATAGGTCAGTATGCTCATTAAACATGTTAAATAGTGAAACATATTAAGTTAACGTGAAATCGCAGAAGGACTGGAAGAGGCAAGATTTAAAAAAAAAAAAAAAAATTACACTGAAAAGATCCTCCTTAATTGAGTTATAATCAGTTAGTATTGATCGTTAGTCCCTTCTTTTATTAGCATGATGAAGATGATGATAATGATGACAGTGATGCAATGTGCAGCATTTGGATCATAAAGAAAAGATGAAAAATTGTTTAAATATTTGATGATAATTCTGTCTTGAAGGTGACATAGGCTGCACAATATCACATACTATTCTCAAATTCTTGATAGAGCTTGAAAATAATTTGAATAAACAAAATTTCCTTTTTTTGGTATACTTTTCCAGATCTACTTTTAAAGAACTGGTCCACTCTACTAAAATGAAAAGGGGCTATATTTTGGACAAATATTTTTTTTTTAAATGGTTTTTTTTTTACCTCAGTCTTTCAGCAGGAAAGCAGTTCTTTTGCCAGTTAAACATTCAAAAATCATGTCTCATTTGAATAAATTAACATATTTTGTGGCAAAAATTAATTCCAAGGAAGGAACAATAAATAGGAAAGCAATTTAAATTGTGTATTTTACAGAGGAGGAGGAAAAAAAAAAAGAAAACCCAACATTGTCATGCGTATGACAGCTCAGCTAATTTGATGGGCTTTGATGTTAATTTAGGGTTTACTTTAATTTCAAAACATATTTTTTCACTTAATAAGGGAAACAAAAGAAACTTTCAACCAGTTTGTTATCTGGGAATGTTTTGGCTTCTCAAATGTGAGAACATGATTGTTTTTATTTCCAGGAGGAGATAATAACACTGAAGCAATAAAAAAGAGTCAAGGCAGCTTGCACAGCACAGGAAGTTCACAGCCAGAGACTTAATTTCCCACACAATGTACTGTGCAATGGGCCCATTAACATAGATGAATAGGCTCTTTAAAGGGTTTTTTTTCCAGATATGCAGCTGCCGCTGAATGGTGCTATGTTAATAAGGTACTCACATGCCTATTCTTCAGGTACTCTGGCATTCTCTACCTAGGTAATCTCCATATAGGAAAAGCTATTAGGGGTTGTATCTCCTACCACACCTTCAATTATTTTAACACCTGCACTGATAATCCAGGCAAGGTAAACTAGTAGGGGGCCGAGGGTCTAAGTCCATCCTCTTCCCCCCCAAAGTCACATCTCGGGAGGAGGGGCTGAGGGAGAGAGGGGAAGAAAAAAAAAGTAAAGTCACTTTTATTACACATCAGTGGGAACATTCTGAAAAAGCTTTCATGCCTAGGAAATTGTTATTTCTTCAAACAACTGACAGCCTGCAGAGGAAACTCTAATGGAAATCCAGCTCATGCATTGTTATGCATGGCCCTCATGTAGATACATGGGGGTGGATTAAGTTAGCTTCCAAAGGGTCTATTGTGTGCAGCATTAATTTGCAGTGCTCTTGATATTTGAGTTTGAAGGTTTTACAACCTTTGTGTTTACTTAGATGCACTATATCCTAGGTTTGTTTATTTCCTTCTACAATCTCTTATTACCCAGTAAATGTAACATTTATCTTTATTAACTTTCAATATGCGGCTGTAAGTCACAGAGAAGGAAATAATTACAGCCTCCTTGAGATATATTCCTTTTAGAAGAGGTGGGTGGGGTTTTTTTGCTTCCTGGTCAGTTCTGATTTATCCATCTGTTAAAACACTGGCCTTCCTTATAAAGCCAGTGGAGTAAAAGTGTAAGAACTGTGTCATTTATTATTTTATTATATGACTATTACATTATAAAGAAATAAGTTATATTTCCCTTGTCATGTATGTACAAATAAGCAAACTAATCAATGGTTCTTCCAAAAGAATCTGGTGCAATTGCCTCTTACTACACAGGGATATAAGAAAAATTGCACATACCACTCTTGATGATAAAAACAATCTTTCCACCATTCCCTCAGAATCCGTTACAAACTTGCTGTAACATACAGTTCCTCTCCCAATGTTAAGATGCAAAATGCAGTAAGACCTTTCCTGTGCTGCCTTAACTTGTATTCTTCTTTTCCTGTAAAGATTCATATGCACTGGTGATAGGCATTTTTGTAAATTCAACTTTCCAGTGAGATTTAAATTCAGAAGATCCTAATGGATTTTTATTTGAACTTGTCAGGGATATCTAGAATGTTAGTTTTTCAACACTGAACTAAGAACTCAAAGTAACTTGTACATTCACAGGAAGCTATGATCCTAATCTGAACTAAAGGGCTCAACTGAATAAAAATAATTTATGCTCAAGTAACTGAAGTTATGTGTGACTTCTTCCCCTCCCCCTTTATATGGAAGTCAGTCAGTTAGACATTTTTGTATTTTAATAACACAAAAGTGTTTCCCGTAGAAAGGACTAATGCCTGACTTACAGTAATTAGGGTCTGAGGAGTATCAGGTGCACAGTTTACTCAAAAATCCCAGCACTAAGGGAAGATCTCTTAAAACTACAGAAAGTTTTGAATTCAGGTTTTGATGCTACATAATGGAAAAGAAATTACCCTCTTTAGGGCTCACTCATTAGGGGCACAACAGCAGAAACAGCTGCCTCTAAGACCTGCTTGCTTGTTAGGTTGGGGGAGTCTATTAGTAACCTGTCTCAGACTGAGTAAGAAGTGGAAACCAAATGACAGGAGCCACTGACCTCAGCTGTTGAAGAAGTGAAGATCTTAATCCAACCTTTTGGGCTCAGGATCTTTTCTAATGTCCTAGGAAATGATAACAGCGGGAATAGAAGGAACTGCATTTCACAGAACTGTTTGAAGTACTGTGGTACTACTGGCATTGTATAAAACAATAGCACAGCTTCCTCTGGAACATGATAAAAAGTATGTGAAACAGCCTCTGGTTTAGAGAATATAGATCTAGTGCTTCTGTTCTCCTTGCTTTGTAACACAAGGACAAGGAGCGATAATAGAGAGATGCAAATTCAAAACCAATAAAAGGAAACCCTTTTTTTCCCCCTCAGTTTGGATATTTAGTCTGCCAATATGCAATACCATGATATTTCACCAAAGTCAGATTAAAGCAAACAGAATAAAAGAGAAATATCCAATGTTTGCATAATACAAGGATCTCCAGCATTACAACAGTTAACTTAAATTACTGGTAAATAAAGAGATACCTGGGTTTGGAAGAGTGTAGTCCTCATTTGCTGTCATAAAATTCTGTGTCTTCAACTGATTACTCAGACCCTGGCTCCTGCCAGAGATATGGTGCTGCAGTATATGGACCACTTCCCTAGTGGTCTGTAAAGCAATTCACACCTTTAATCATTGCTGGGTTGTGTTCAAAGATTTCTTTTTAACCAAAACTACAAGATCTAGGGAGCAGAGGTGGTGGGGTTTTGTTTCGTTTTGTTTCGTTTTTAAATGGTAACTCCAAAGATTTTCCAAAAAAGAGCAAAGAACTGAGTAAACATCATAAAGCCCATTTTGCTCTCATAAGAGCTGGTAAAACTCTTCTGGTCATAGTGTCCATGAAAGACTCCCACTGAAGACCTCCCACAAGTTACCAAAGACTATATTAAGACAAAAAATACTCCTATCCTCCCATCTCCATTCAAAGGGAGAGTGGCGGTCAGGAGTTGCTGCTGCAATCAAGCAGAGACTGCAGGCTCTTCTTTATTACTTTTGCAACTGTGAAAACATTTTTGATCCCTGATCTCATTTCTGGAAGGACAGATATTATTCTGTGGGTCTACTGACAACAAAGTCTTTACAGGCACATGAAACTGCCTCATATCTGTATATTTTTTGAACGTTAACATATACCCTGTGTGTATGTACTTCTCTAGAAGAGTGGCTATTTATTTAATATATGAGGTATGAACTTACTTAACTTACTGCATGTTAATTCTGTGCAGTTTTTTACAACCTCCTCATATTCCACAAGAGGAGTCATATACAAAGAGTACATTATACACCTGAACTGGACTCCTCTATTTTTTGTCTGTGCCTTCATTAAGCAGTCATTCCAAGAAATATGTGATCTGAAATGTGGTGATGAATACTCAGCTTATTAAAGAAGGAGACTGATTTGTCTTTAGTTTCAAAGTGTGCACAGTTGTTTGACTGACTAGATCTCCACCAAGCCCTTGACAAACCAGGGAAGGACAATCTACTCCAGCGCTCACAGTAACGCAAGCCTATCTATTCACTGCACTCATAGCATCACAGGGAGGTGCAGGACAGACAAGACCAATCCCTTCTCATTACTGAAATCTTCCAAGAAGGTATGGCGGTGTCTATATCACCACTTTCTGACCTCTCTGGAGACAATGAGGAGCAGGCAAAATGAAAAGCATTTACCATTTTGTGCACCATTTAAAGACAAGAAATAGTCTATCTCATAATCTCCTTCTGACTCATAGAATATTGAATGAATATCCGGAGCTAACTGTGGTAGGGAGGAGATGAAACTTGGCAGTTTTCTGTTCAGGAAATGAGCAGGTAGCATGAACCTTCAAAGCAGGTTACCCTTCCAGGGTCTCTGAATATGACCAGCTGACCTGTGGAAACCAGGAGGGGTTAGAGGAAGTGTATGATGGAAGATGAAGATAAATTAAGGTACACAATCTGTACTAGCTGAGATGGTAAAAGACACTCTTCAAAGCTGAGGAGTGGTCAATCAGAGGTTTGTTACTAGCCCAGGAAAATTATAGGCACTCTCTAGAGAGTAAAAATGATTTTAAAGGAGCTAGTCAAGTGGAAGAAAAAGTTTAATAAGAGAAGCATTGTAAAGAAAAAAGTAAACATAGAGAGAGAAGCAGAGAAAATAAGATCTCAAAGTAGAGGAAACAAGTAGAGAATAGAAAATATCTGCTCAAAGTAGAGCACAAATTGTGGGAACAGGGTGCATGGATGACAATGAAGAGCAAATGGGGTGCAGTAAAAGGATGCCTACCTCACTGGGAGAATGACATTACTCTGTCAAGAGAAAGGAAAACCTATTTTCTTTAGAATGATATGAAATATAAAAATGTAAGTAAACCTCTGCCTCTGATTACTCTCTTTGGTGTTCATATGCCCATTGCTCAGGGTCATCAGCAACTTATTAACCAGGATACATCAACTTAGAAGCTTGTCGGGAATGGACTGTTGATCACAACCCTCTTCTGCGTGTACCATGTGCAGTCACACCATCCTGCAAGCTGGGGCTATTTGTGACTTAAAAAAAAAAAAAAAGTGGAGGAACAACATAGTGAAAACAGCTGAGCAAGGAGTACTAGCAAGGATCCTCTGCTCACCAAGGACATTAAAGCTGTCTCACATTCTGTTTTGTATGGAGTGTGGATATTACAGCACTCACAAAAAAGGACCAGGCTCTTTTCCCTGTGTGCTAGTGATCATTTTGCTCTGAAGGGCTGAGCATCGCTGGCATGTACAACTAAAGGCTTAACTGCAGTCCTGCCTTCTCCAGTCTTTGTAACAGCATGGTCTGAAGCACAACTTGTTATTAATCAGATGGGAAGGAGATGGGACCATGATTCCCTAATTATTTGTAATGGCTAAAGAATGAATAGCGTATCTGCTGCCTTTCCTGGTGCACTGAAGAGCCCTGCTCCCCTCCATAAAGGTTGTACTGTCATGAGGCTCCTGTTGTGTAGCATACGACTGATAAATCAGACCAATTTAGATTATTTTTTGGTTGTTTAATGGAAAGCTGCCTTTACCAGGTAACACTGAAGTTAATTAACTATCAAACTATATATATATATATATTTTAAAAGTGTTTTCTGGTGTTTTAAAGGGCAAACAATGCAGCCTCAGACTTGAAGGACTAGCAGTTTTGGGGGTATATTCTAGTAAGAAAACTCAATAGGTCACTGCTCATTTTTTGCACCCTGAAAATTTGGTGTCTGTGTATGCAAAATGGGCCTGTGCTTGTTTCCAAAGTCAGGACTGTTTCCACACACAGGCCAGGACCAGTTACCTTAAAATGAAAGCTCACTTCCCCATCACTGTAGTACATATAATAGCATATTGGCCCCAATTCACCTTGGTTTCTAATTGTACCTGACACAGCAAAGGCCACCAGCGAGAGGCAGTCCCAGCCCCATGCACTTTAAAATGCACTGCAGGCAAAATTCATACAAAATCCTTGCATAAGAGGAAGCCTAGACAACTCATTTTCTTCCCTACTGAAGAATGCTTCTATAACTTGATTTCTTGGGGACTGATGAAAATTACAGGATCACGGGTGTTTTTTTACTTTATTTCTCTGTAAATACAGACTTACTCGTTTAACAGGAGAAGGAAGAGAGGGATCCCAGCAGTCTGCATCTTTAACACTAGAGTCTGTATCTCTGTCGCTCTGCTGCTCCTGGAGGCAGCTCTTAACTGCAGACTGCGGCGTGATGTGGCTCAGAGACAACCAGACTCGTTGCTGAGCACCGTGATTTTTTTTGCAGCAACCAGGCAGCTTGTTTAAACCACCACAGAGCAGGGGCAGCGCCTGCAAGAGCTGAGGTAATAATTTTTACATTAAATATCTGGCAAAGATGTGGGATATGGACAGGGAGAAGGGACATGGAGGGAGGGAGGAGCTGCAGAAAAGGACAGTGAAGAATGAAAAAACAGTCTTTTAAAATAAATCCACTGTTTCTCAGGAATGTGTGACACTGCAAGCAAGACTGGAGATAGAGTGGGGAAAGCAGGAAGACTGCACATCTGCATTCTGCACATTTTGTTCTAATGTGCTCTTTTGCCTTAATCTTTTTGTTGTTTTTCAGGCTGGCTGCAAAGTTTTGCAAAAGTCTCCCGCTGCCAAAGTCAACCAAAAAGACAGGGTACTGTGATGGTGCTTCTTATCTAGAGACTTTTTTTTTTTTTCTATTTTGTTTTTTCTGAGATGGGCTGCTAAGGAAATAAATCCCCATGTAATTTCCAGCAATGACAACTGAATCAATTCTTTTGCTTAAAAAAAAAAAAATCCCTCATTTTCATATTTCCATATTTAATTTTTGCACTTGCATGTACGTTTCTGTTATCTTCTAGCCACATGTTGCTATTTGTCTCTGTAGTGGAGAATTTCTTTTTTTTTTTTTTTTTGACTGTGGGCTATGTGAAGCCTGACTTGCATGTAAAAGATCCACAAGGAAAAAAAACCCTCCAGTCCTCACTGAACTAAAGAGGGCTGGCATGCTGCATGCTTTGTGAGAACACTCCACACTCACCACCACCTTGGGTAGCACGTGGTGCATACGTGCAGCACCAGACACCTACAGACCAACATCTTGTGGCCAGTACAAGGCCCCCAAAAAAATCAACATGCATGGGCAAGGAGGGATGATGGGAGGCTGAAAAAAATTAGCAGTCACTGGTTGTTCCAAAAATCAGCCAGATTTGGCCAACTAAACACTGTCTAACCCTCAGCCAGCCACTATGCAACTTCCACAGGGTACAACTGCCAAAACTTGGGTAGAAGGAGAGCTCTGGGATTTACGAGACCATTCCAAGCAATCTTGCTGCATTTAGACTGTTTATGTTAGTCACCCTTCAGCTATCTGACTTTCAGTGAGATTCAGGCTCCTAAGATATTTGGGTGCTTTTGAAAAGTTTACATGCAGTCGCAAGCAGGCGGCCAAGACTCTGCGTTCAGTTAGAATTAGTGAGGCGGCTGTTGTTACAATACATCTTAACTCAGCGGCAGCAGTGCTTGGACAGACATAATTTCTGTGGTGCTTGCAGGCAGACAAGATTTCAGACAG